TTGGCATATTGAAGAGAGAGAGGAAAGCACTTCTTTCAAGAAAATTACCATATAAGGAAATTTTCAAGAAATCAGTGGTGAACAGGTAAGAGTTTTTTTTCACAAATCATTTTTTATAATTGTTTAAAAATTTATAAAATATATAAAAAACTTATTTAATAAAAATTGTTTAATTTTTAAAAAATTTTGATATTATTATTATATTAATAATATTTAAAACTTCAAGCAAGATAGATACATACTATAATTTATAAGAAACAATAATTATATTGTAAAATAACTATTTTTAAATAATTTTATTTATTTATTATTATTTAAAAAAATATAACAATTTTATCAAAGATATTAAACAAAAAAATTTTTTTATAAATCTAAATAAATTAAAAAATATCTTGATTAATCAAATAAGTCAAAACTTTTATTAATTTTATTATTATTGAAACTGAATTTAATATTTCAAAAAAATAAAAAGAACCTGAAAAAAATTTATCAAACTGTAAGCAAATAATTACAAAAATTAAAAACATTGTTATTTCTTTTCTATTTATTTTTTCAGATCTTATTAAAGCCAACAAACTTTATCAAAAATGAATTCTTTATTTATAGATATTTTTTCTTTAGTAATTTCCTTTTTCTATATATTTCTATATTTTTTATCTATTTTCCAATTCTAAGAAATTGTTTATTATTTTATATAAATTATAAACAACTTGTTTTTTCAACTAATTACTATTTTATATTTAATTAATCAAAACCTTTATAATAAGTTACAAACAATGATCGCGTGGTTGTTAAATTTTCTATTTACCGTTAGACACCTTATCAATTCAGAATTCATAATAAATACTCAAGAGATCGGAAGTGACCAACTCAAATTCTTCATTATTGGAAGTTAGAGACGTGAATTTGACTTGGTCAACTTTCAAGTCTAACTTAAAATGCAAGTTAATCGTTGTTTATTACACAGTGACAATCAAAAACTTTATCATTGATTGACTTTTTTATTTTTGCTTGTAGTCAAGTTTTATTATGCAATATTTTTTACAAAATAAAAAATAAAGAATCAGAAATAACAAAATAACTGATGAAGAAATAGTATGTAGAATAATAGGAATGCAGTTTTGTCTTCTCGAATTTCGGTATGGCGTCATGTGTCAACATTTAGACAAATCAAATGATTTTTCAATAAATCTTATTTAATACATTTTCAAGATAATTTCCGACAAGCGGAGGACATTTTGTTATTTTTGATGCATAATAAATTTGGCGGAATCTCATTTTAAGAAAAAAACAATCCGCTCGATTACAAAAACATCAACACTTGATTCCTTTACCAAACAACCTCATAAATTATAAATAAATTCAGGGTGTATATCTCCCAAATTCCCAATTTCTTCTTCGCTCTTTCCTTTTAAATACTGCCCGGGATCTCTAATCTTTCTTTCATTCTCCTTTTTTAACCTTTGGTGCTGAATGCTCACTAACACAGTGGACATCATTAAGAAACATAAGGCGATTGTATTACCAATTCGATAGTCTGGCGAATCCTTCGATTGATACATTTGTGAAGCGATTACTCCCCCAATGTTCCCCACCGATAACATTATCGCACTTCCCACTGCTCGTTTTAAGTCACCCGCCATATTACTTGTTAACCTGGATTTATGAGAAAATGTATTAAGTCATGAAAGAAGGAAAAACCAGATCATTTAAATAAGAATTTACCATGTGATAGATATCGAAACGCATGGAAATAATCCAAGACCAATAACACAAGTTCCTAAATACTTAACTAACAAAATGCGCAATATAAGATGTGATCCGTTAATGCATGGTGAATAGAAGAGACATTTTTTTTAATTTAATAACGTTATACCGGCTGTTGACGCGCCAGGAATTATAAGTAACAAATATCCACACATGGTGAATGTTAAAAATGACGTCAAGAATAGTGCGCGATTTCTAATTTTGTCCGACAATATCGCAGTTGATATCGTGGTCACGGATCCACAAATGAATGGTGGTGCGGTAAGCAATTGGGAAATAACTATCAAGAGATATGAATCGAAGTTAACACAACGATTTATTGTTGTCTTTTTTTTTTACTTACACAATAATTTAACATACCAGGAGTAAACCCCATACCATGCACAATCGTAGGAATGAAGAATGAAAAGGAATAAGTGCCGGCGACGATCCCCATAAAGATAAATGTCGAGATCCATACTTTCTAAATGATATACGTATACCAAGACTTATAATTATTGTAAAGTAACAAATTTGCATAGTTAATATTTACCCAATCTCTAACAGCAATCATAATTTGGTCGACACGGAAATTATTGGTGATTAAAGAGCCAGTATCGTGTTGGAGTCGTTGGAGAGCTAATTTGCGTTCACTCTCTGATAACCATTTCGCGGTTTGGGGGAAATCCAAGATGGTAAAGTAAGCTATGATCGCTGCAACGACAGTAACTGAACCGTCGATCAAAAAAATCTATTAAGCAAACGATGGATACAATAATGTTAAAAAAAAACAATAATGTGCTTTAATATACACCCTTTCAATCCAAATGCATTTTAGGTACCCATTGCCATCCGCTTAATCCGTACTTTCCATTCAGATCCATGACTAAATAACCCAAAAGACCACCAAAAGCCCCTGCAATCGTAGCTCCGGAAAAAAGGAGACCAACCCTATAATTCTGCTCGGATCTCTTATACCACATAGTGATGTAAAAGACTACTCCTGGGAAGAATCCGGCTTCGAAGGTACCCAACAAGAATCTGGTCACCATCAACGATGGGAAACTTTTAACCTTAGAAATTCGTTAAATTAGTTTACATCGAATTTTTTCGGACAAATCATCCTCAAAGTGAGAAGATAGTTACGAATGACATTGATATCATTACAACGCCCCAGCAAATCATTATTGAAGGAACTGGATTAATGTCAGAATTGAACAAATTATTGGATGTCTTTAGTATTTTTAAAAATTACAAATTTTGCGATTTTAAAACTCACTCCATATTGAAGGCCGCGTCTTTATCAATATTATATTAGAAGGTACTTCAAACAATATATACCCTCTACACGAAATATACGAAACGACTAAATAAAGTTGGCCAAAATTTACGATATATTGTACTTTAAAATTTACATACACAAAGAATATACACAGACTCCAATTATATTGAGAGCTCATTAATCCTAGATCACTTTCAAGATGCGCCAACTTTGCACTTCCTAGATTGACTCTTACGATCAAAAAAAAATCAAAGTTAAGTGAATTCCCGGTTATAAACACGAACCCCAAAAAATCAAATCACCTGTCCAGGAAACTTAAAATATAAAGAATTGTGATTAATGGCATAATCCTTAAGTCTATTCTCTTTATCAATTTCTTCTCTTCTACATCGAAAGAAGTGTTTTCAGGAGAAACTGTATTCATGTTATATTTTTTAAAGTTTGGAAAGTGATTTTTTTTTTTCACTTGAGGACCCGAAAGTCTGTTGCTTAAATACAACAATCATTGTTATTTAAATTTTAATTTTAATTACGAAGAGCCATTTCTTGAATAAGAATATTAAGCAGATAATAATAAAAGAATTTTAAGTTTTTGATATGCAAGAAATAAACGAACTTAAGGTTCATGCAAAATGTGTATTTCAGGAAAGGATTTAATGGTTCCTTGCAACGCTATCACTTCACACGCTATCAAAAGCTACAAATACCTTAGAATATTTTACTTTGATCACAAAATATTGCTATTTTATGGAATTTTTTAAAAAAATGTAAAAATAAATTATCAACATTAACTCTTTGAAGAAACTATATTATCCGGTAAATTATTAATTATTAATTATTTAAATAAATTGCCTCACCTAGCGCATATCGATTAGTGAAAGAGACTACTGTATCGCGAGAGACCATGTAACAGTGTATTACGTAATAGGACTGAGTAAACAAATGTTAAAAAGAATGACATGGATTCTTTCAATTGTAGGCCAAAAAACTTGCTTTCCGGCTTATTATGGTTTCCTTCCCATCCCTCATTCTCGGTAATGCTGTTGTAAGATGAGCCTGTGCAAGCCTCACATCATTAAAAATCTAGGAAATGGCTACCTGATTACTGTATTGTGAATAGTAAGTAATACACAGTCGCTAAACCAGATACAGTAGAAGATATCTCTCTGTATGTTTTATTAAATATACTGTTTATTTTGGCATTCTAATTATGATATTGGGCGAGAAATAAATACTGTATTTAAATAACAGAATAAATTATATTACACGACAATTTGCCTGATCATATATTCTAACAAAACAAACAACTTGATAAGATAATGCATTGTAATTGTAAAAACCATAAGGTTACGATTCACTCTATAGATAATAACTAGTCTTATATAGTTAGCGTATAATTAAAAAACCTTGTTTTTGGAATACATCAATCGTTAGACGCAAAATTCTTGTCATTGCCTATTATAGTGCGGTTGCAACTTTTCCAACGTTATATCCGACAATTGATAATAATCCTATCAATGTGAAACTAATTGCAGGCGCCATTATCACATAAGAATAGAACATTAACATTGCCATCTCTTTTTTTGTTGAAAATAAGTCAATAGTAGTCGGCCAACAAGCTAAACACATTAATACAAGAACAAGCATTGGATCATCTGTAATCAATCCTTTCGTCAAGAGCACTATCGCGATCCCAACTATGGGCATAATCAAATATCTACATGTTATTATATACACAATGTCCCGATTTATTTCTTCGAGGCACGATATAGATATACTACCAGCTTGCGCACCAATAGATAAAAGTGTCATGGGCACAGTCATTAAAGCAATCAACTTCAAGTAGCCTGTGACGTATGGGTAGAGAAGAGCTTCATCTCCAAAAAATACTTTTTTAAGTTCTGGGACCATACCAACAATTAAGGCACAAGTTCCGGCAATGATGGGTGGCGTTATCACATTTGAGATGAATCTTAATATTTTTCTCAGAGTCTTGTTTATTCTGTTGAATTTTCCAGTTTTTTTCATTCTAGACAATAACGGTGTTATTTCTGTATCAGTCTTATCCGATTCGTTAGTTATCACTACGGAAACTTCGCCACTGTGATTAGCGGAATTGTCGGAATTGTCCAGTTGATCATCTTTTGGTAGGAATTGCTCCGCAAGTGTTCTAAAATTCATTTGATGTTAAACAAACAAACACTCTATGCGAAAATCAAATATAATAATATTGATACAAACTTTGTCAGTAATATGAAATAAGTTGACAAAAGAAGATAGGTTACACCACGTGACATAACATCACTCGAATCTTCGTCTTCCCGCGCCAAAACACGCATAGCACCTGTGTTGACTAATGCTTTAATCAATCCCACAGGCAAGGCGGTGATATTGTTAAAGATCACGGCCGAAAAAATAAATTTTTTCTTCAGTTTTGAGAGTCTCAAAAGATTTCCACCAAAACTTCCTATGAGCCCACTCAGCACGGCAAATTTTATGCAAAAGACGGGCAGTGGCCATGTTTTCTTGATCGTATCCAAGTTGATGCCACTACCAATTTGTGTGAATAAGAGACACGGAAGCAATATTTTAAAAACTAAACTTTTCATGAACTATTTTTTTTTTTTTGTTCAAAGTTAATATTTTTCTTTAAATCAAGAGATCCAAAGGTGGAAGGAAGGATACAAACCTTTCTTACACTTTTGTTGAATAGTCCGATTCTGGCTCCAACATATCCAATGAAAATCACGCCAATTACGTGAGCACTAGACTGATCGAATCATTTGTCAATTTTCATCTTGGACTCATACAGAATAGAACCTTTAATTACCTCGAGAGAACCAAAAAGTATCGTTGAAAATTTTATTTTCGGATCCATAAAGAAAGTGAATATCGTTTCGGTAAAAAAAGTGGAAATCGATCATTATATGTAAATTGCCTATGCAAAGTTATAAACAAAGGTTTAATGTTATCTGTAATCTTTTTTTTAGTCATTGGACACGTTAAGAAATTAATACTGTATATGATATTCTATCTGGGATTTTTCAGTAATGATAAGATAACACTTGATTGCATAAGTATTTGTTACATTTTAACGGATGATTTTCTATCACTAAGGATTAACTGTACATTTGCAAACCTCCTAACATCCAAATACGTATGTGGATACATTACAATTCTTTATTTACTAATTATGCCCTCCCCTTCATGAACACAAGCAAGCGCATGCAATGGAATAATATTAATTGCTTTAAATTCATTAATAAAATATTTTTAAAAAAATAATACCCCTATCTGCACCAATAACGCATCATTAGTCTTTCGAAGGGATTTGCCGTAATTGTCAAGTGCCTCTTGTCTATTATAAAAAGAGTTCATTATTTCAAGAAGGTTATGATTTTCACATTAGGGAATTCAGTAAGTAGCGTTTATTCGTTGGATAATATAAAATAAAATAACAAAGTACCATATATTCTTATTATACAGTATTAATAATTTTTGTAATGTACAGTATCCCGCCATTGATCACCGGATTTTTTAAATCGGGTATGATTAGCGCATGCAATTAATTTTTTGTTCAGATTGTTGCCAACATAAACGTACATTTAACCTACCCGTCAATGTGCTGTGCACTTGTTTTTTTAAAATGAAACAAAAAAGAAAAGAACCTGATGAAGGAGAACGCAATCAAGTTGTTGGTGCTTTGAGGTGTGGAGTAAAGGTTCCTGTGATCGCAGAAACTCTTAAACTTTCCAAAAGTAATGTTTGTAACATTGTTACATTTTACAAAAAACTGGTAATATAAAATCTTCTCCTTGTATTGAAAAAATAACTAAACTAAGGAAATAGATGTTTATCATCTTATCCATTTTGTAAAGGAAGATAGAAACATATTTGAATATAATGTTTTGAAAAGTTTTTTGAAAAATAGGTTGGATCCATTATTTAAAGTTAATAAATAAACAAAGCAAATAATTATATAGAAATTTCTAATAATATTTTATTAATATTTTAATTCTTCAATCTATTAAATGTACAAAATACGTAATAATAATAATAAATATATTATCTATCTTTGATGTCCTGTTCAAAGTTTAAATAAATTAAAACATTAAAATTGCAAGTATAATTCTTTATCAATAAATAAAACAAGCTTATTTAAAAAATAGTTTAATATGAATAAACAATTTATAAAAATTTTATAAAAATTAAAATTATTAAAACCGAATATTGTAATATTGTAGTTACAATATTTTAATAATAATAACAAATAATTATATATTAATTTTGTTTGTATAAGGAAAGTCATATAATAATCCTTCTTTATAAATTTGTTTTTATACATTTTTTTTTATTAACATATTATTATCACCAGTCTTATATCATTTTTTAATATCACAAATTTAATCTCAAAGTCATACTTAATCAAAATTGTTGGATCTTTTACTTGCTACAATATAATCTTTTTAATTATTTTTCACTTGATATACAATGTTATATTATTTTATTATCTACAAAGATTTAATCAATTTCAAAAACCAAAATTAGTTTTACTCTCTAAACAATTAATATACATATATTCAATAACCAATAATATATTATCAATTCAATATAATAATAATTAAATTAGCTTAAATCTGTTTGCCTTAATTAAAATAATAACACTATTAATAATATACTTATATAAAAATCCTGGATTTTTTATATATTTTACTTAGTCCTTAAATAGTTATTATATGGTTTTATAAATTCAAGCAATAATATTAAAGTTTAATTAATAACAAAATATTCCAAAAACTATTATAATAGTTTTATAGATTCGGATAATATACTCAAAATTCAATTCATAACAATAATAATTTCAATATTATATTTATATAAAAATTTAAAAAATTTTATATATTCTATTTAATTCTTAATATTAATTAATTATAATACCATCATTATTAACATATTATTACTTATTCTTAATAACAATTCTATTATTTTAATAATTATTAACAATGTTATTATTTATTAATTAAATTAAACCACTTCTATTTTTATCAATTGATTGTTGTTTAACAAAGTATTAAACACTTCTCTTTAATCAATTATAACAATAACAATATCATTTCTATATTATTATATATCTATAACAATAATAGAATTACTTTAACAATTAACAATAATAATTTATATATCAATCTTTTTCATAAAACAAATTATTTTTATTTTTTATTTTATATATAGTACTACCTATATATAGTATTAACAAGTACTAGTCAAGTTATAAGTTTAAAGGACAATATAACTGCAGTACTTTTATATAATTTAATAAATTATAACATATTAATTTTAAAAAAGTATTAATTATTCAATACTATTAAATATATCAAGAATAATAATAATTAATATTATAAATAAGTTAATATTAATTTATAAATTTACTTTATAAATATATTTGATATAATTTGAATATTTCATATACAGTGCTGACCATAAATAATGGAAATTTTAATTCTCTAATTTTAAAATTTTTTGTGCTACGATTATCAATCTGTATCACTATAATTTTTTTCCTTTTTTAGTTTATATCTTCTCATTTATTAAAAAAAAATTTTTTTTCATGTATTGCATATTTCTATAACAGTAAAATTATTATTAGAAATGAAGAATAATTCTCTTATTTATCAAAGAAGCGTTATTCAAGCATTGTGGTATATCAATAAACAAAATCCTATCCCTTTAATAAAAAATTCAGATTTTTCTAAAATGACTGTATATAACTATATAAAAAAATTAAAAAAAAATAATAATTTAAACCTCTTACTGTATTCAGAACAGCCTCTTAAGTTGTCTTCCAAGAATTCAATAATCTTAATAAATTCATTTGAAAGAATCCAGAAATTTTGTTAAAGAATTTGCATCTAAATTTAATACTAGTAATCCAGACTATACATGTTTCCTTATTACTATAAAAGGAAATTTTATTAACAATATGATTCTGAATTAAGAATGATTTTTAATTATTTACTAATTGTTACTTAGTAATACAAACATAATACAGTTTTCGAAAATGTCTGAATTAAATATGAACACATGTATTGTTAGCATGTAAAAAGGTGATAGAAAATAATAAGGAAAAAGGTATAGTAAGTATATCAAGTATATCAAGTATAATAGATATATCAGATATAAAGTATATATCAGGTATAAAATATATAATAGGTATAAAGTATATATTAAAAATAAGTATATAAGTAACAGAAGAAGGGACAAAAATGAGAGGAATTCCAGATAGGTACTACGCAACTCTGACATTCTTCTAAATTCCATTGTTGAACATTTGCCCTATTATCTGATCCACACACACTACACTTGAGGAATTGTCACATGAGTAGCAACCCCTAGATCCCTGGATCTACCGATTGATCTGTAGTGCTACCCAATGGCTCAGACCAAATACACACGCCTTTTTCAAGTAAAAGACACGCTTGATTGTTATATGACGGAAGGCACGCTCAAGCGACAGACTCACCAGATTTTCATACCAACAGTATAATCCAGACCTAAAAATATTGATAAGAACTATTAACAGAGTGCTTGCAAACTATAGGTAGGGCTCCGAAAAATACTGAACTGGTATCGAAATAGTATCAATTTATAGTAAATTTAATATATAGATTGTAACTTATTCATATATTTTTATAGTAAATTTAAGTATCGAACTGATATTATTAGGAGTCCTAACTATAGGTGGATAGTTACAATCCTTAAACAAATTCCTCTTCTTACCAAAGAATACAAAAATTGTCACTTAGAATAAGCCAAAGCTCATATTAATCAAAAATGGGTTGAATTGTTTTTTTTAATGAATCTATCTTCCAGATGTTCTATAATACAACTCAAGTTTATTATATGGCTGATACAGAACAGCCACAATGTCTTATAGTTAAGTATCTATATAAGGTTCATATGTGGGGTGCATTTTCAATAAGAGGTATTATTGGTTTTTATATATTTACTCAAAATATAAATAGAGAGTTATACCATCAAATTCTCACAGATAATCTTGCTAACACATAGATTGTAATGGGTTATGGATGGACCTTCCAATAAGATAATGACTCTAAACACATGGCAAAGATAATAAAGCAATTTCTAATTGATTCTTATATAAGGGTTTTAGATTGATCATCAAACTTGTTAAATCTTAACCCTATTAAAAATTTGTAAATGATTTTAAAAAAAAAAGTAGAAAAAAATGGTAATAAGAAAGTGCAAGAAAAAAAATCTATTATGTTTACCAAGTTTAAAGAATTAATTAGATCAGAATGGATAGGTCTTGAAAAAAGCATGCTGATTGAATTAGTAAAAATATATTTTATTGTTTGGAAGAGTTGGTGACTGAAAATGGATATAAAATAAATTACTAAAAAAAATATATTAGTTAATACATTAATTTAGCTATTTTTTTTTTATGTAATAAATATTTTTTTTAAAATAAATAAAAATAAATTTACAATTTGCCATTATTTATAGTCACCATTGTATATTAATAAAGTATTATATTTAATATCTTTGTATAATTAAAAAAGTCTTTTTTACTTCTCTTTTTATACTTAAAAATTCTTTATTTAGAAAATTCTTAAGTTTATTATTTTATTATTATTATTATTATTTTACTTTATTTTTATTTATTTATTTTTCTTTTTTTTTATATATTTATTCTAATGTATTAATATATATTTTTGATTTTTTTGAGACTCTTGTAATAAAAATAAAAAAGAAATATAAAATTTTTGAAAATTTAAAAGTAAAAAAATTATTATATATAAAAAAAGTATTATTGTTATTTTTTTAAGAGCTAAATATAATATATATACTGTTTTATTA